AAGAGCACATGGGGAGGTGGTAGGGCTATCGATTCACCTCCCAAAGGCTCATTAGTCTCTTCCCAGCCGTGGCAATTCGGGAACAGCGGGAGAATTCAGCAAAGAGTCTCGCTGCCGTCTTCCTGATCATCTGGATTTCCTCGCAGTCTTCGGCTCCGGAAGACCGAATGTGAAATGTGGATTTTTTTATGAATTTGATTTACTCCACGCTTATTGACCTGAGCGCTCAACCTGGACCGTTACTATTCAACCATCAGAAACGTTGTTGTCACGAATGAGGGTGACTTCACACGCAACTCATTCGAAATGAAATGCATACAGGAAATGCATCCAGGGCTAAATGATGATTTCTGATGTAATGGAAGATCCAAACTGCAGCTTGAAACCTGGAAGCTGAATCAGACAGGGGGTCTAACCTTCTAGCACAGGGCTGTGCAACTCAGGATCCTCAAGGTCTGAGCCGTGCTGATTTTCCAGCTTCCCTTCACCCGTGAGCCAAGCGTGAAGCCTCTGGCCAATCAGAATCAGTAATTATTAAACTAACTGCCTGTGAGAACTGAAAACGTGGCTTGGATTTGGAATCGAGGACCAGAGTCGAACAGTGCAACTCTGGGAGCTCAGCGTGGTGATAGCATGCTGACCGGAGGGTTGTAGACACCAGCCCCTGCTTCCGTGTGATGCAGAGGGTGCCCAGCCAATCACAGCAAAGCTACATCACCTGTCTGTCATCTTCAGCTATACAGCACAGCACACTTTCCCATCCTAGAGGGACTTTTAGTTTGACACTTTACCTGCACCTACCTGGCAATTGTAAGACCCTGGGCAGGACTGATCCATGTGCAGCAGTGGGTGCGAGGGAGGAGCAGGGATGAAAGACACGGGAAAACAAGTCATCTTAGCGTCAGCAAACATAAATGGACGTTGGTCTGGGAAAAAAATACGACAGGGCCTTGGGATCTGGCCACGTGGCAGAGAGACAAACCTGAACCCATCTCTCAGATCTGTTTGCTGCAATCAAGGTGCCGTGCTCATCCCCCACCCAACAGCACAATCCTCAGCCCCCCAAGCTGCTGTGATGCCCACCAGCTCACAGAGACCACACGACTGACTTCTGTGTGTTTTCAAAACATTTATTGTCAATTGTCCTCCCGCTTACAGTTAAAGTACAATGAAACATACTGTATCTTAAAAGTACGTATGATGAAAAGCAAACCACAGGAGAGAAATAAAAGAAATTAAGATGCAACTTAACAGGGTGACATTTGTGTACAGAAAGCTGGACTTGTCCTGTTCTTTTGGCCCATATATACAGTATATAAGAAATCTCCAAATACAAGATAGTTACCGAACACTTACAAATGAGATTTAACACCAGGAAGAGATTCCAGTGACGACACGCATAATCTCATATTTTTCAAACATGCTTTAAAAAATCTTTTCACGTAAATAAAGTCTCTTGCTTCAGCGCTGTCATTTTTTTTTCCTCTGTAGTGCAGTGAGTTTGCTGTACACGTGACTGCAAGTTCGTCCCACACCCCGGGATAATTCCTCACATGGCCCCCCCCGAGCTTGGCTCGGATCCCAGGACAGACCGATCGCGGGCGCAGCTGCGACAGGACGCCTCGTACTTAAAACCCGAGCTGAACGGTGGAAAACGAAGTCTCAGTCGGGGGCGAATTTATTCAGCTTAACTGGACTGCATGCAAAAAGCAGCAAGGCATCCTGCATCTCTTAGGGCTCTTTATTTAAAGATAAATAAAGAGGGTGGAACGGTTTCGCTACTATCCAATATGTAGTCCGACATGCAAGTTTTTATTTTTTTTATTAGCCGTTCAGTTTCCAGCCCTGTATGTACATATACATACTTATTTTTAGTTGTTTACCTCATTAATATACGTCAAACACTAATACGCATTTCCTGACATCACCTCCAGGCCGAATGACCTCTTATTCGTGAGGTCACACGTGTTGACAAACGGCAGAGGTAAGCAGCCTCTTCGTATCGCCATAGACCTACGCTGCTAACACACAGCCACACGGAGTCCTTCCGTAGCGTTTATACCTCTGTGATTCTCTGTGATAACAGGGACTCCGAGATACCGTCTAAGTCAGAGCCGCGCTGCTATAAAAGTCGGGGCTGAGACACGTCAAGCGTATATTAAAGCATTTGGATTCCTGTTTGGTTGACCTCTATTGGTGAGAAACCGTCGGCCATTTTTACCCAGAGCCCAAACCTGTGAGTTCCATCCTCTGCCCTGCCTGGGTCCGAGAGCCGCTTCCTTTTCCAACAGCGGGAAATCCAATGCAAACCGAATTAAAGTCTTAAATCTACATAAACACCGTACTACACATTTAACACAGAACACGACACGCCGGACGGGCTCTCGATTCCTGATTGGCTAATTAGTGCCGCCATAGCGACTGACCGCATGCTTTCATAGCTACAATTATTGATACAATAACTAACAGGATGATTGTGCTCATGTTCACAACACATAGAATAGCTGCCTAGGAAGATGGAAAATAGCAAGAAATTACTAAGCAAACCTCCACCCGAGAGTCAATGGAATGACGCGGGAAATGAGTGACACTTTCTGGATGGATGAAGCTGTTTCGGGACAGCACTCAGCCCGTTTGCCGTATTCATCCCCAGACCTTTTTACTCTCTGTCACTCCATCACTCCAGCTGTGGAAAGGCGCAAAAAATCAAAACAAACAAACAAAAAATTACTCTGAACCTGCTGGTGGATTTTCGATAAGGGTGGAGAATTCGGACATTCGCCCCGCTCACCTCCATCTATACACCGGATTACCGTTTCTGCATTGTCATAGAGCAAATTGCACTAATATGGTCATTAAAATCAAAGGAATTAACATTAACAAGGCTTCCAGGTCTCTAAATTAGAGCATTATATATATTTATAAATACAGCTCTGGAAAAAATTGAGACCACAGCTTTCAGTTTCACTCATTTCTCAATTTATAGGTGTGCATCTGTGTAAAATATAATTTTTTTTGCAAACTGCAGCCTGGCTCTTCCCTGCTTCTCACTGATGAAGGGCTTCTTCCTTGCTTTATGGGTCTTCACTCCTGCATCCAGGGGCCCGTTATGAATTGCCCCAGCAGTGCACTTCACACCACTTAGTGTTTCCCATTATTTTTGAAGGTCACTTGAGGTCATCCTCCGATTTATGAGGCACTGCCGGATAAGTTGACGGTCATCTCTGGCATTAGAAAGTTGCTTCTGTCCTCCACCTGGTTGGCTTTTGGTCATTGCCGGTGTCTCCTGCTTCACCTTGCTCTTGTGTACTGCTGCCTTAGACGCTGTGGGTGGAAGCAGCGTTTCACACCACACAGTGTAACCTTCTGCCAGCAGAACCAGGATTTAAAAGTACAAATTTTAGACAAAAAAATTTAGCGGCCTCAATTTTCTCCAGAGCTGTGTGTCTATATATGCATAAACACTCTGACAGACACAGATTTTCTGATTAGCTTAATGTCCTCGACGGTTTGTATTTTCCCTGTGTTTGTCAGAAGGGCCCAGGTCGCCCGCCATATAATTATCCTCCACAATAAGTGCCGTTAGATCTCTGCCCGGCAGCCGCCCGTCACCACGGCGACATCTGCGGCAGCCTTCACATGGCAAGTGGGCGGAGGCGAAGGCCAGTGCTCTTGACTTAGCCCTGACACTGAAACTTGGGGGGTGCATCACACCTTGTTATTAATATTTATTATTATAATAAAATGTGTAAAGCATACATAGAGTCTGGTTGACTTTACTGCCTTCCTGTTACAGTATATAAATTATTATGTGTCAATATTATCTGAGTATAACTAAATACCACAGATTGGAAAGCTGGCCTTCATGTAACACTGATTTAGGAAAACCATTCACACATTTGCTCATTATAATCATACATTTTAAGAGCCTCTGTTAAAATATTAAATTCTTCCTGGCTGCCCTTTGACCTGGGGGTTGGGGCAGGGCAGGGGCAGCGGCCAGCGTGGGGCTGGAGTGTGGGGGAGGGGGGGGGGGGCACCGTCAGCGCTCAGGGTATCAGTCACTCGGGACGCTCATAGGAGCTCGTGTCAGGTGAGCAATGCCAGAAAGAGGAAAACAGATCAATGCATCTCCGTGGCACCTGACAGGTAATCCTTACCGGGGATGGAAGAGGAGCAGCCGCCCGCTGGATTTCTTAACTGTAACAACCCCAGTGACGGAGATCACGTGAACCCCCCCCCCCCCCCAGGGCATTGGAAATCCATTGCGGAGAAAACCCTGGGTGGGGGCGGGGGGGCTCTAATTACTATGGGACGCCGGAAACCCGCCTCCCGCAACAGGCGACCACATCAACCACGCTGACCACGCTGGATCGCATAATATGCAGCCACAGGCCCCGCCCTCCCGAGGCCCCGCCCTCCCGAGGCCCCGCCCTCCCACTTGCCATGTGCTTAGAGGAGAGTGACGGGGGATTATCGGAGGGTAACCACCTTTACTACTGATTAATATTACTATCTATTATCTATGAAGTACTTCTGCACTAATTCGAACCCGAGCGCAGCTGTCCTATGCAATAGAGCGGTCTCATTTCTTAGAGTATTTACAGGCGTCTGTGCAGCGGCTGACCGCTCAGCGCACAGCTGGGCAGAAGCGGGGCTGGAAGGAGCCTGTTGTTTGTGTGACGCAGAAGCTGCTGCCCCCCCCACCCCCCCACTCCATACCACTCGGCGGATCAGAAACAAAAAGCAAACATTTGTTTGTTTGTCACAAAGCGGTTTTTTGAGAATCTGCCGGCTTCAATGCGCAGGAATCTGAAAGGCGAAGGTGAGCCTGGTGCTCCCCCCCCGAGGGCCAAAAACACAGGCCGCCTCTGTTGTGGAAATGAGGGCCTTTATGGGGAATGCGGGCGCTCAAACCCATGCTAATAGGGAGTCCCCTGGTCTTTGAGGGCAA